TGCCTATCCAATTTTAGTATACAAACATTCACCAGGTAGTAATCGTTGAGGGCCCCGAATGACAGAGCTCTCAGTTGTCCCAGAATAAACGTCTACCCAAACGTGGTCAGGTTTGCTTCAACTAGAAAAAATGTAAATTTTACACGCTTACTTTTTAGTGTACAAAGCATGAGATGGATTGCCCCATTGAATATTTCAACTTCATATCGGTAACCAGAGGTCTGCTTAAGCTTGTCAAGGTCCATTTAGTCAGTAATGAGCCTGTTTTGCACGTTAAAAAAGATCAAATTTTAACTCGTTCCCTACTCAGTGAAAGTGACACACACTAGGACTTTTGTTTTATCTATTTGATAAAGATTATTTCGTTTTCTTCTTGTCGTTGAAGGCATTCAGTGTCTGACATTGACGTCCCCGACTAACGGAGCGGTAACTCCTACCGGTGCGGTCTACTACTCAAACGGGGTCACCTTCACCTGTAACCCGGGATACGTACTGAACGGCGCTGCTGCTGCGACGTGCCAAGCTGACGGAACATGGAGTAACCAAGTTCCAACATGTACACGTAAGAAGAATTACACGTTGATATGTTATGCTGATGTTTTATTGTTTGCAGTATACAGCCTTTGCCAGATAGTAAAAAAAAGAGTACTTGAAGGTAACTATGTGAACTTCCTATATTTACAACATGGTAGACTGAGATATATCTTTACTACAAAAATAAATCTCTGTAATTATAAGTATCTTGTCATTTCAGGCAGACAATGTCCAAAGTTGACGGCCCCAACTAACGGTGCGCTCAGTACCACAGAAATCTCCTACCTTACCGTAGTCAGGTTTACCTGTAATCCAAGGTACCAACTAAATGGCTTTGTTGACACTATGTGCCAAGCTGACGGGACATGGACAAATCCAGTTCCAACATGCACAAGTAAGATAACATAATTACAAGTTTATATATGATGCTGATTTATATATTAGCAAGGTATATTGAATTGTAGTATACACTTACCACTCAATCACCAGATTGAAAAAAAAAGAATATTAGAAGGTAACTGCGTGAGAAATTCAGTACGTAGAATACGATATGCATATTGTAGGTTAGTGTCATGAAATAAAGATTTATGATGCAAACATAACATAATGTATGATACTCTGTAGAAGGCACAAATTAAGTGTTGTAATTTTCTTTATAGCTATCGCTTAAAAAAAGGTGATTTCTTTATGTAATTTTCATGGCAGCGGTCCAATGTCCGGCTCGGACGGCCCCAAATAACGGAGCGGTGAGTCCTACCGGAGCGGTCTCATACCCAGACGGGGTCACCTTCACCTGTAACCCGGGATACGTACTGAACGGCGCCGCTGCTGCGACCTGCCAAGCTGACGAAACATGGAGTAACCCTGTTCCAACATGCACACGTAAGACGACATTCTTGTTCATAAATAAGAGCAATTCATCGGATAATATAAACGTACTAGATAGTAACTGCGTGTGCATTCGGAATTCATAATAATTTTTTAGCATTTCAGTGCAGACGACTAGAAATAGATCACTGTAACAGGTTTTTAACCATTGCATTACAGTCGTATGCCAAAAAACAGTTACTCAAGCAACTGGATATGATTTTGAAAACGTCAGACGTTTCAGCTAGTATCCACTAGCTTTCGTCAGTGACTGAGAGACCAGAGGGGAAAGCAGGTTTATATACACAACCTGTTGATTGATATGCAAATAAAGTGAAGACAAATTTTTGGAAGTCGAAAAAGGAACAAAAGTCAGACAAGTCAAGACAAGATGATGCAAATTAGTCTGAAAGCTCCTGTATTACAGGACAGGAGCTTAAGTGTTGTCTGTCCTCGGGGCTGGGAGTGCCAAATCCCAAGTGCCGGAAAAGAGTGTTAAAGAGGCAATAAAAAGGGTGTTAAAGAGGCAATATATGAAAGAATGTACAACCCCACCCTCAACAGGGAAGGGGGGCTACGGGTCGATCTTTCCGGCACTTGGGATTTGGCACTCCCAGCCCCGAGGACAGACAACACTTAAGCTCCTGTCCTGTAATACAGGAGCTTTCAGACTAATTTGCATCATCTTGTCTTGACTTGTCTGACTTTTGTTCCTTTTTCGACTTCCAAAAATTTGTCTTCACTTTATTTGCATATCAATCAACAGGTTGTGTATATAAACCTGCTTTCCCCTCTGGTCTCTCAGCACTGACGAAAGCTAGTGGATACTAGCTGAAACGTCTGACGTTTTCAAAATCATATCCAGTTGCTTGAGTAACTGTTTTTTGGCATATCGTATTACCTGGATGTCTAACCTTTATCGACGCATTACAGTCGTACATTGTCCAAAGCTGGAAGCCCCAGCTAACGGTGCGATCAGTACCACAGCGACATCCTACCAGACTGTGGTCACCTTCACCTGTAACACGGGATACGTACTGTACGGTTTTGCGGATACTACGTGTCAAGCTAAGGAAATCTGGTCTAACCCAGTTCCAACATGTACACGTAAGATTAGTTGCTTCTTGTATTGAATTGTAGGTATTAAAGAGTAGCTGCGTTTTACTTTCAGCGATCAAAATATCATAGACAGGTGCATAACAAAATGCATTTTTTTTACATTTCCAAAACAGAAAAATATATCATAATGAAATTAGCTAACAGAGCTCGAAGTCCTATCGGACCTCAGGTACACGCCTGCCAAAAGGTCATAAGATTTACTTGTTTTAGGGAAAATGTATTTTTACACGCCTTCACCATTACCATAGAGCTATTGTGTGTAGGATTTGTATTTAGTACATTATGGGCCTGTTGGTGGGTTTCCATCATGAAAGATCTATTCATTTTTAGACATCCATAACCAACTTAGCAGCAGAAGGCACGCATAAGAAATTGCGATCTAATTAGTATTTAAATATTTAAGAGGAATTATTAATTTTTGTTCTTTACATTGCAGCGATCCAGTGCCCAACTCTGATAGCCCCAACTTACGGGGCGGTGAGTCCTACCGGAGCGGTCTCCTACCCGAACGGGGTCACCTTCACCTGTAACTCGGGATTCGAACTTAACGGCACTACTGCTGCAACGTGCCAAGCTGACGGAACCTGGGATAATCCTGTTCCAACATGCACACGTAAGACAAATTCTACGTTGTAAATGCAACCAATATCGATCTTTTAGAACAAATGTTTTTCGGTACTGGTTAAAAAAATATCAAACCGTGCAGAATAATTGAGATAATCTTTTCTGTCACGTCATCAAAATAATAGTATGTGCAACATTTATTTTGTAGAAAATCAGTCTTATACACAAAGTTTAACTTTCTAATCAGCATTGTCATAGTTTTAACACTGTCTAATATATGTATATATATATATATGTAACTTTAAGATACCTTCATCACAGCTGAATTAGCTTTGATAGTAAGTGTGTCTAGAATTATGTCTTGTGAATGAAGTTACAGTCTGTAACAGTATGTACAGACTGAATCTCAGTAAAATTGTGTAGGTATTGGCAAGCAATGTCTAAGACTACCAGGCCGAGCTTTGCAAGTCAGTACTGTAATTACGTACTTTATATTTTGGGTAGGACAAGAAGAACTTTCCCCTCTTTATGTGCAACCAAACCACCTCTCAAAGTGTCTTTTAAAAGAAACTAATCGTGGTTACTGCATTAGCAAGCCCTCCCGACATATGTTAGGCAACGGTAGTCATACCTAGACGAATCGAGAGCTAGTGCTTTACGTTAGCTGAATTTATTTGGTGATTTTATAGTACAAGCATTGTGTTTAAATCAACTAGAACATTTTCTCTCTCTCCCAGTCTGTCAGGTTGCACTTGGGATGGAATCCGGCGCCATACCTGATGGCAGCATCACAGCATCATCGGACTCTGGTGTTGATCACGAGCCATACTACGGACGGCTAAACGGAATTAGGAGCTGGACACCATGGTTTAGGAACATACAACAATGGTTGCGGGTAGATAGAATATGTTGTTTTGAATATCTAGAAAGAAATTATTTCCAATTCAATCTTCTGTTATGTAGACATTTCGTTGGTCTTACAATACCATGAAATCTGTTATATTTGATACATATAATCCAATGTTATGTCTTGTTTTCAATAGGGCACAGACGACACTCTTAATTGTGTATGTAAACCAAATATATATATTTTTTTCTAACAGTGCCCAACATTGTCATAATGAATGAATTAATTGATAAATGCACTGAGTTGATAACTAATGCCCCGATTTTAGGTAGCCTAATTTAAGTTTCCAGCGTACATGGTCAAGTGTTATCAGCTAATTCTGCTCTTGTTCATTTTGTTACATTTTAACAAAAGCCAATGAATTATGCCTATTAGGTGGATTTAGGAGAAGAGCAGCGCGTCACCGGTACCATTACCCAGGGTGGCGCATTGGATCTTGTTGAAGAATGGGTGACGTCATACAATCTCCAGTACAGTGTAGATGGCACTATTTGGACGACATATGCAGGCAGAGACGGCTCAGATAAGGTACTATATGTAAGCATACTGGAGAGAGTCAATAATTCCGCAGGGCGGTCCAATTACACATATTTCTTTGGTACTAAAATCTTTTAAAGCTATTAGTCGATTCCGTTCCAAGTCATCATTTCAAAACTTTCTAAAGATGATCACGTTTTCTTCGCTTGAGAAAATGTCTAGATACTATACGGCTATGGATGTCATGAGCGTACATGTAGCTTTCATAATTAATGTTTGTTTTTGCTACGTTTGTCAAACGTATGAAGATCAATGGGTAATAAATAGTAACTAAGAGCTACAGAAGACTATTAAATACCCCCGCTCAATTTGTACCTCCATGATAAATAGAGGTATTGTTTTTGGCGCGCGCGCGCGTGTGTGTGTGTAAGTGTGTACCTGTGTGTCTGTCTGTGTGTGTGTGTGTGTGTGTGTGTGTGTGTGTGTGTGTGTGTGTGTGTGTGTGTGTGTGTGTGTGTGTGTGTGTGTCTGTGTGTGTGTGTCTGTGTGTGTGTGTGTGTCTGTGTGTGTGTGTGTGTG